TTATTAAATTGTTGCCCCTCACGTTTTAGGTAAGGAGGGGAGGGTGATGAAAAAATTAAAAGACTTTTTTGTTACCTGCCTCCAATCATCGCAATTTTTTAACAGACTCATTATTTTACATAATTATAAACATACTTATGTTTGGAGTTCGCTTCATGTCTGGAAGTTAGCCATCTCAATCACCAAAAAATCCTGGATCTGTCACTGAATACCTACAACTTATTTTAAATTAGTTGCTAAGTAAAAAAAGCCCTGAAAATGACTAGAATTAAAGCTAATAATAGTATTCAAAATTTAAAAAGACTTATTTAGAGAAATAAGATATTCAGATTCATAAATAAATAGAGATACAATAAAAAAATTGATTTGTGGCATTTTCACAATCTGGTTTGGTTGAAATTCCTATTTCTGTTCTGAATAAATCCGCAAAGATTTTATTAAACAAATCTAGTCGTGAAGTTTTAAAATGTATTAATTCATGCTAAAAAAGTTGATGTATTAATTCATGCTTAAAATTTTTAATCTTCAAAACTGCTTTAATAACTTGAATTAATTTGAAATCAGTCTGAAAACTTTATTTATTTAGAATAAAAACAAAATAATATTTTAAAATAAGAAAACACAATACAGATTGAAAAATAATATTTTTATTAAAATACCTAATTTAAAATTATACTTAGACTTAAAGTGTTTTGAAAGTAGAGTAAAATAAATGCTAAACAAATAACAAAATTAAAAACTCCTAAGCATAATATCATAAACAAATAACAAAATTAAAAACTCCTAAACATAATATCATAAACAAATAACAAAATTAAAAACTCCTAAACATAATATCATAAACAAATAACAAAATTAAAAACTCTTAAACATAATATCATAAACAATTAACAAAATTAAAAACTCCTAAACATAATATCATAAACAAATAACAAAATTAAAAACTCTTAAACATAATATCATAAACAAATATCAAAATTAAAAACTCCTAAACATAACATCATAAACAAATAACAAAATTAAAAACTCTTAAACATAATATCATAAACAAATATCAAAATTAAAAACTCCTAAACATAATATCATAAACATATATTAAATCATATAAAACAAAATCAATAAAAGTATACGAGTATTTGAAAATAGTGTTAACATCACAATTTTAAATAAAGATTATGAAATTTATGATTTAAGTAAATACTATTGTATACCCTTGTAAGTTCACAATTTTCTTGTAACAAATATATTAGAAAGGCTTGCAATTTTATCGGTCTTTATAGATATATAATAAAAAACTAAACAGATTTTATGCAGATTTGTTTTTATCAGAGCTCAGACCTTAACATCATTTGCTAACTAAAGACCTTAACATCAGACCTTAACATCATTTGCTAACTAAAGACCTTAACATCAGACCTTAACATCATTTGCTAACTAAAGACCTTAACATCAGACCTTAACATCATTTGCTAACTAAAGACCTTAACATCAGACCTTAACATCATTTGCTAACTAAAGACCTTAACATCAGACCTTAACATCATTTGCTAACTAAAGACCTTAACATCAGACCTTAACATCATTTGCTAACTAAAGACCTTAACATCAGACCTTAACATCATTTGCTAACTAAAGACCTTAACATCAGACCTTAACATCATTTGCTAACTAAAGACCTTAACATCAGACCTTAACATCATTTGCTAACTAAAGACCTTAACATCAGACCTTAACATCATTTGCTAACTAAAGACCTTAACATCAGACCTTAACATCATTTGCTAACTAAAGACCTTAACATCAGACCTTAACATCATTTGCTAACTAAAGACCTTAACATCAGACCTTAACATCATTTGCTAACTAAAGACCTTAACATCAGACCTTAACATCATTTGCTAACTAAAGACCTTAACATCAGACCTTAACATCATTTGCTAACTAAAGACCTTAACATCAGACCTTAACATCATTTGCTAACTAAAAACCTTAACATCAGACCTTAACATCATTTGCTAACTAAAGACCTTAACATCAGACCTTAACATCATTTGCTAACTAAAGACCTTAACATCAGACCTTAACATCATTTGCTAACTAAAGACCTTAACATCAGACCTTAACATCATTTGCTAACTAAAGACCTTAACATCAGACCTTAACATCATTTGCTAACTAAAGACCTTAACATCAGACCTTAACATCATTTGCTAACTAAAGACCTTAACATCAGACCTTAACATCATTTGCTAACTAAAGACCTTAACATCAGACCTTAACATCATTTGCTAACTAAAGACCTTAACATCAGACCTTAACATCATTTGCTAACTAAAGACCTTAACATCAGACCTTAACATCATTTGCTAACTAAAGACCTTAACATCAGACCTTAACATCATTTGCTAACTAAAGACCTTAACATCAGACCTTAACATCATTTGCTAACTAAAGACCTTAACATCAGACCTTAACATCATTTGCTAACTAAAAAACCCTGAATAATCAGTAAAATAATTGTTGCAGTCAATAGAAAGTTTAATTTACAATATAACACACTTTTCAATTGTCTATTCTTCTGACCATAACATTATTTTATATTTAATAAATAGCAAATTTGAGAAACTGATTTTTTTTATAATTCTAGCTAATTTTTTAAAGTTAAATTAAAAACTA